CTAAAGCCCTGCCCACGGCCAAGCTTTCTTTCTAAGCTGTTGACAAAGAGACATGGAGGAATCCTGGGACAGTTGGTTCTTAGGTTGCTATGGACCCAGTTCCAGATCACAAGCAGCCACGTCTACAAAGGACCTGTGGCCATAATCCTGACGATGAGAATGGTCTCTCCTGAAACACAGCTTCCATTTCTGGCTTCTTGATACTTAAGATAGATTTTATCAAAAGCCCTTCAGAGGGGAGTCAGTGTTGTGTATCAGAGTGGAGAATGCATAACTGGTCAAATTCAGAAATGCTCTTACTCCATTCTTGATACACTCCATTTTCACTTCACCTTGACCCTGAAAGGGCCTATTTTTCTGGAGTATTCAGAACCAAGTCCATCTGCCAGGTAGAAACAAACGACTATGCCAGGCACTCACCCTCTGGGGGCATCAGCCCAGCAGCAGGCTCCTCAGGGCTACCCTGAGGCTGCAGTGAAGCCATACCTAGCACCTCAGCTTTGCAGCTCAGCCCACACCTGTATGCCTGCCCAGCCCACACCTATATGCCTGCCCAGCCCACAGCTGTATGCCTGCCCAGCCCACACCTGTATGCCTGCCCAGCTCACACCTGTATGCATGCCTAGCCCACATCTGTATGTCTGCACTTCTCAGCTGCCAGCACACAATGCCATGAGCCTCGGTGTGACACTGGAATGATAGAGCAGTGATATGATTCTAAGAATGGCAAGTTGATCTTTTTACTGGCTTTCTCTGGATGGGCCAGGCATTCTCCTCGAGGCCTCTGTGCTGCAAGCTAGATTACTCCCTTCTGCCTCTTATGGAAAGATTTTGCTTCTAGGAATGCAATATTGCCTGGAAATAACAAAAACAAGAAGGAGAAGAAGGGAAGGGGGAAGAATAAGAAATAGAATTAGGAGGAGGAGGAGGGGAAGGAAGAGGAAGAAGAGCAGGAGGTGGAAAGAGAAGGTGAGAAGAAAATTAGAGGAGGAGAAAGAGGACTTCACATGCATTTAAAAAAAACTATTTTTGTTCTGAGGTAATTATAATAAACATGTAATTGTAAGAAATAATACAGAGACACCTGTACCCCTCACCCAGTTCCCCCCAATGATAACATCTTATATGTCACAATATCACAGCCAGGGAGTCGACAGTGATACAATCAACGGACTTTATTCATATTTCTCCAGTTTTACACGCACTCGTGCAGTTTTATCGCGCGTACATTCCTGTGACCGCCACCACAGAGCAGTTCCATCACAAGGGCCCTTTTATAGCCACAGCCACTCCCCACCTCTGGCAAAACTAAAGTGTTCTTTATCTTTATAAACTTGTCACTTCAAGAGTGTCATGTAAATGAAATCACATAGGCGGTAGACTCTTGATTTGGCTTTTTTCACTCCATGTAAGTTTCTGGAGATTCATCCGAGTGGTTGCACGCACCTTGCGGAGCAGTGTCTTGTCGTATACATGTCCCACCGCTTGTTTGACCTTTCACTTGTTGAAAGGCATCTAAGCTGCTTTCAGATTTCAGTTACAAATAAAACTGCTGTGAGCATGGAAGGTAAGGTTTCTGTGTGAACGTAGGTTTTCATTTCTCTAGATTAGATGCCCAGGAGTGTGGTCACTGGGTGGTAAGGTAATGGTATGTTTGGTTTTATAAGAATTGCCAGGCTGTTTCTCTAAAGGGGCTGAACCAGTTTACATTCCCACCAGCGGTACATGAATAACCCAGTTTCTCTGCATCCTCACCAGCATTTGGCCCTGTCACTATCCTCCCATGCCTCCCCCCACCCCCGCACCCCGCCGCCGCCATTCTGGTAGGTGTGTAGTGAAATCTCATTGTAGTTTCCATTTGCATTTCCTCAATGGCTAATGCTATGTAACATCTTTTTTCTACACTCATTTGCTGCTTGTATATCCTCTTCAGTGAACTGTCTACATAATTTTCTAATTGGATAGTTGTTCTTTTTTACCATTAATTTGGTGACTTCTTTAAATATTCTAGAAAACTGGCGTCAAATATGTGGTTTGTGAATATTTTCTCTCTGTCTGAGTTTGGCTTTTCATCCTCTTCACAGGATCTGCCACAGAATAAATGAGTCAGTCATTTTTATCAATTTTTTCCTTACGGACTATGTTTTTAGCATTAAGTCTAAGAACTTTTCCCTAACAGTAGGTCCAGAAGATTTTCTTCCATATATTTCCCTAAAAATTTTATAGTTTTACATTTTACATTAAAGTCCATGATTCATCTTGAGTTAATTTTCAGATAATACGTGAGGTTTAGGTTGGTTTATTTTTTTATTTATGAGTATTCATGTAGGTATATTTTTAAAGGTTAATCCCTACAGCAACCCTTTGAAATGGGTTTTATATCATCATCCCATTTTGCAGATGGAGATGCCCATAGAGATCTGGCGATGTGACCAGGCCCCACAGTTGAGGAGTGTTAGGGAAAAGCCCGACTGACTCACCTGCTTTGCATTTAAGCCCCGCCCCCTGCCTCCTGCCATCCCTCCCCCCCTGGGAGTCTTGCTTCCTAGATGTTCCAGGTTTCTGCACACATTCCTTCCTTCTGAGTAACCTTGTCCTCCCTGTAGGCTACCAGAGGACGGGACCTGCTAGGGCTTGTCCAGGTGTCCTGTGACATGTTTGCAGAGTGGAGAATGGAGACAAGCTGGGAAACTGCCCTGTATGCAAGGACTTGGTCATTCTCATTAGGGGAAAGGCTCACATTAGGTTTTAGCATCTTCCAAAGTATTGCAGAACTGCTCTACCAGCACTGGTTTGGGGGCAGCAGGTTGAAAATTTTAGGGTCCCTCCCAAACAATCACACACACACACACACACACACACACACACACACGCATACATGCACGCATGCACGCACGCACACACATTTATTAAGTCCAAGTCCAGAACATTTCCATCCCCCAGCTGACAAAAATAAAATTCATTGATAGAGGTCAACAGAAAAGACTCAGAGCATCTTGAGGCAAAATCCTGTGGCCAGAGCATGTTTCTCTCCCCTTCTGGTGGTTTTGGTTTGTGGTCAGACTATGCCCACCTCCTTCAGTCCCGTTCATCCATACCCACCCCCTTCACCTGTAGGAGTGGCGGTGGAAGGTGGAGCCCACCTCTCCAGCTCTCTCCTCCCTACTCACTGGCCGTGGACTTCCCAGCCGGGCAGTGCCTAGGAACCTCTGCACTCCCAGCCCTGGAAAGAAATTGGCAGCCTCTAGGTTGAACTTCCTCTTTCCCAAATCCCTGAGCATCAGGCGTTTATTAATGAGGGATCTAGAAAGCTTTTGCCTCTGTGATCTCACACTCGGAAGGTCCCCTCTCCCTACAACTTCTCCCAGAGCTTGTCCAAAGACTACCAGGCTTTAGTCCTGGCCCACTTAGGAGAGATAGAGAAAAAAGAATGAGTCCAGTCTAATGACTCCAGTTTCTACAGGAATGTGAATATATCTATTTTTCCACATTCTTCAGAAGCCTCAGGGTTGCTTGAACTCATAGCTTGTCTATTTTAACAGGTGGACCAACAATAGCATGCCTGGGCCCTGTCTGTCTCTCCGCCTCTACCGTTGTCGAGTTGTAGAATATACCTCCCCAATCTCCATGCTCACTCCCACCCAACCCCGGCAGATCTCCTCATCTCCCCGTCAGTAATGTCCTCTATCATCTTCCAAACCTCTGGGGGAGTGGGAAGGGTGACAACAGTCAGGGCAGGCAGGGCTGCTCGAGGAGCAATAAGTGCCCTGCCTTGCTGCAGCCAAAGCAAGCTGGGGGTCCTCCCTCTGATATTGTGGGGGTATGACTCCTGCTCAGATTCAGGCTCTATCACCTCCACCCTCTTTCAGGGAGCATGATTCTATCCTCCACACCACCCCCATTCTTAAAAGGCTACCCCTTGCTCCCTATGCCTAACTCTTTCTATAGGAATCAAACAAACCTGGGTTTGAAACTCAACTACCACTTACTAGTATGTGGCCATGCACTACTTACTGTTTTCTAGCCCAGTTCCCACATCTGTAAACAGGGAGGTCACATCTGTAAAGCCTGTACCATAGGCAAGATAGCTACTGATTCCTGGACCAAGTTAATGCTCAATAGTGGCCACATCGGTCCCCTCGACAACGGTCTCTGGTCCTTACTCTCCTTGTCAGCTTTCATCCATGGAAGCCGCCAGCACACCCTCTCTGTGACCTGGGAGTAGGGCAGGAATCCGGGCTCCCGCTGTTCCCTGAGCCTCATCCTGGTCCCAGGCAGCCAGCCAGCCCACTACCTGGGCCAAGGAGTCACACCTCCCCATTGGGCAAACCCAGAACAAGCACCCCTTCCTCTGAGGTTGGGGTTGATAGCAGGGCCGGTTGGGGGAGCTCCCTGCAGACAGGCACCCTGCCTCTCACCCCACTGTTCTTGGTGACCCCTTCTTGATGATCCTTTAATGCACCAACTCTGGTTAACAAACAAACAAATAAAACCCAGCAACAACAAAGGAAGCATCTAAGCCAGTGAGGACCACAGATTCAGAACAGAAAAATCCCCATTGTAACTTTTTTACTCCATACTTGCTGGGGGGAGAAATGGGGGGGGCAAGCATCCACACTCAGAAATGGGGACCCCTGGCATAGTCCTGAACCCTCATAATCCCTCAGTATGAGTTGCCCTTAGAGCTGGATCTGAATCTCTGCCAGACTCCTGCTCCCAATTTCAGGACCCCTCCTCTTCCAGCACCCCCCGTAGCTCACAGAGGGGATGGGGGTGGACAGGGGACTCACAGGCGGAGCCTGAGGAAGGGTGCTGACTGCAAGGGGCCTCTTGGGGGTGCTCAGAGGGACGTACCCTCTTCCCAGGCCCGGGTCACCACTGCCTGGGGCTCAGGGCTCAGGTCTGGGTTTTCCCCGCCCTTGCAGACAGGCTGGCTCCTCCTCGTGAGGAAGGAGGGAGGCGGCTCTCCTCCCAGTCCCAGCCTCGACCCACCGGAGCAGCGAGCGCAGGAGCCAGGCCTGCGGAGTGCAGCGCACCGGCCCCATGGCCCTGGGCGTGGAGCAGCGGCTGGGCAGCCTCGCCGTCTTCACCCGCGACGACTTCGAGGGCGACTGGCGCCTGGTGGCCAGCGGGGGTTTCAGCCAGGTGTTCCAGGCGCGGCACAGGCGCTGGAAGACCCAGTACGCCATCAAGTGCTCCCCCGGCCTCCTGCCAGAGGCCAGCAGGTACCTGTCGGCCCGCTCTCTCTTTTGGGAGGAGGAACTGAGGGCAGGGGCTCCGGCAGGGACCATCTGGGTGAGGCGGGATTGCCCCCTCGGCCTTTCCAAACTCCAGCCAGCGGCCAGGTTCCTCAGGCTCAGCACGCGTTTGTCCTGTGACTGCATGCAGCTAGCACCACACCTGCTGGTGCAATCCAGAGGTCGCAGAGGAGCAGGAATTACCCTCCAAACTGGTCCTGCCTCCTTCTTCCTGGCACCTTCTTCCTTCTGGGTGTCAGGGTGGCGAGGGCTGCTCTCAGTGGCCCTCGGCCACCCTCCTACCACCCTCAGCACCTCAGGGCGGCAGGGCTGGGCTGGCTGGGAGGCTGTGCCCTGCCCGGCTCCGTGATGCTCAGTGACCTAGGGAAGCAGTCCTCTCCCATGGCCGTCCGGTGGCCCTGCCCAGGAGTGTAGGATAGAGGAGGCCTGGGGGATGGCGACCCGCCCAGGTCACTTGCTGGCTCTCATAGGTCCTGCTGGGAGGTCAGCCTGGAATGCTGCCACGTCTGTCCTCACCTTTGTCTCAGGCTCCCCCCCACTCTCACCACCTGCACCTCTTCCCACTGTTTCCACCATCTCTGCCTTCTCCGGAGATGGGTTCCAGTCTCATTCCCACCTGATTTGCTGGTCCTGGCTGCGCACTTGTCCCCTGTGCAGCCATGAAAGAGACGCTGGGATGCGAAGTTTGAGCATGAAACCCATGTCTTTCTCCCAAGGCTCCTGGGCCTTCAACTAGAGGGCCTGGGAGGGAGCACTCTTGTTGGCATGGTATTTGGATGCTCTTTGTCCTGTTCTTTGTACAAGCTCCCAAGACATAGCCTCAGGTCCCACACATTCAAGCCTGTCCCTTCCTAATTCCCAGACCCCCACCTGCTTCAAGTGAGATAGCTCCAGACTCACCCACCTTCCCCCCTTAACACCCGCCTGTTGCTTTGGGGTAGAGAGAGATTATTCCAGGATTTGTCCAAATCATCTACAGCCTTTGAAGTAAAGAACAAAAGCGAACAGATGGCATTGGCAGACTGCAGTGTTAGACACTGACAATAGCTTCTGCCAGTTTCCTCCTAAGTCCCAGGAACTCCCTGGGTGGAACGGGGTGAGGATTTGATGGTACTTAATGCCTGCCATGCAGGGAGTACTATCCTAGGAGTTTTACCTGTATTACTTCACTGGATCCTCCTTTCATCTCATTCATTCATCCTCTTGGTGAATGCTTATTGCCCTACTTTATGTCAGGCACTGTGCTAGACCCTATGGTATAATGATGAATACAACAGATACAGCCCAGTTCTCCTAGAGAACAGCCTGGAGGGACAAAGACATTAATCGGTTAACCGACATGTAAACTAAGTGTGTGCTGCTGTGAGAAGTATTACAAGGAAAGAGAGATGTATGGTTCTATGAGAGCTTATTCATAGCGCTTGACTGAGATCAGAAAAAGGCTTTCCTGAGGAGGTTACACTTGAGCTGATATGTGAAGGATGAGTATGAGTAAGTAGGTGAAGAGGAGAAAACTTTCCAGGAAGAAGCAACAACGTGTGCAAAGGGCCCGTGGCAGGAGGGGAACACTGAGTAAAGGATGGAAAAGTGGCTGGAGTTGAGAGAGAGGGAGCAGTGGAGAGCTCTGAAGGCTTTGCAATCAGGTGGGGTTGGTGGTGACAGGGAGGAATTGATCAGGATTGCAGTGTGAAGAGTGGATTGGAAGGTTAGAGTGGATGCTGGTCCAATTAGGAGACTCTTCTCATTGTTCAGACAATGAGACCAACAATAGCACGCCTGGGCCTTGTCTGTCCCTCCGCTGCCAAAATAAACACTGCTGTGTTGTGATTGAGTGAAAGGGAGAGATTATGCAATATTTAGGAGGTAAAAATCCACCCAAGGTGGTGCCGGGTTGGCTATAGGGGTCACAACGTGGAAGGGAGTGTGAAGGTTAACTTGATGTCTGGCTTGCCCAAAGGAACAAGGGTCCACTAGCATGTCTGTTCTGTGAGAGTCTGTGTCTATCCTGTTCCCCACTCTCTCCCCAGTGCCTGCCACATTGTTGGTGTTCAGTAAGTATTTGTTGGACTATATTGTTGACAGTAAACAAGGGAAACATGAGAAGAGGCCCGGGTTTGGAGAGGAAGAGCATGAGTTCTGTTTTGTACATGTCGAGAAGAGTCGTCTGGTAGCCTTCAGAGTAAAGGTCTGAGCTAACGATATTAAAGTGTGTGAGTCATTTGTTAAGCGTAATTGAAGCTAGGACATGGATGACATTCATTCATGTTAAGTACTGAGTGAAGAAACCAAAATCTCTCCCTTCATGGAGTTTATATTCTAATGGAGGAAGATAATAAATAAGTGAACAAGCAAATCAATAAATAATTTGATCTATGGCGCTTATAGCCACCTGATATTATCTTGTTTAAAATACCTAAGGAGAGTTGAGTAATCTGATCTTCCAAGAAAACATTTAATCTAGGAACATTAATTTGTTGGCCATCTGTGTATGGGGGATAAGGATTGCCAGAGTTGGGGTAGGGTTGCTATTTTATACAGACTTGAAACCCTTACTAATTAGGTACTATTTGAGTAGAGATTTGAAGCAAAGAAGGAGCAAGCCATGTTAAGGAGAGGTATTCTAGGCAGAGGGAACAGCAAGTGCAAAGGTCCTGAAACGGGAACATGCTTGACGTGGTGGAGGAGCAGCAAGAGGTCAATTTGGCAAGAGCAGAGTCAGGAAGGGAGTGATTAGTAGGAGATGAGACCAGG